ACTCAGCATAGTGCTGGGACTTCCCTGGGGATGGAGGCGTGATGTCTTGTACACAGGTATTCTGTGGGGGCTGGTGGCTGCTGCCCACAGCAGGTTTGGGCCTTGGGACTTAGGTGTCTGAGGTGCCAAGGGCCAGGCAACATAAACCTGGAGGGATGGGTGTCATGGGAGTGCAGAAAGAGAGAAGCTGGATGTCCAGCCCAGCGCTCAGCCCTTGAGCGTCAGAGTGTCAGTAGGCAGATGTTCTCTCAGGCACTCTTTTTCTGATTTGCAGCTGCCTTGCAGGTGACTGTGGGCAAGTCCTGCTGCTCCCTGCAGCAGTTTGCCCAGCTATAAAAAGTGAATAACAATTTTGGATGTGCCATAATCTCCTCATTCAACTGTTTCCTGCCGCTTTGACCAGGATCCTGGTCCATCTTCCTCGACAATCCCTCCGTTTCACAAGTTTTCACCCTCTTCTGTTACTGCCTGGTCACCAGGCACCCCTGCTAGTCCTGGGACTGAGCTGGGAATGTAGGGATGTTATCTACTTCTCTGTAGGATCCCAAAGACAGAACCTTCCTTTCCTAATCGATACAGGAGATGAGATATCTCTTATCTCGGACAAGCACGTCAGAGCCTTAGGCCTGACTCCTGATCTGAAGAACCATAACAGTAGAGGGGGAATAATCCCATTAAGTCACACTGTTAAAACTATGATCCACTTACCAGGAAAAGAGCAGACAACTAAAATAGCTGCCATGACAAGGGAGAGGTGGACAGGCTGAGTGTGGTGCAGGGACACCCATGGTTGCTCACTGTGGCGCCATTCTCAGACTCAGGGCTCTGACTCAGTGAGAGGCACAGCCTGGGATGGAAGGCTTCAGGCTGTGTGGGACCTTGCTACAGCTCTTTGCATCCAGTTCTTTCTTGGCAATGGTCATGAGAGGAGTTTTTTGGGACAGTGTTTCTCTTAAACAGCCATTCCCATGGAGCACTGTTAAATTCTTGCCAAATTTAGCCTCTTTTGTGGCTCACCAGGAGCTCTGTTGGTACAGGGCTGCCAGGGTCAGGCAGCACTGAGCACCAAAGGGACGGGTAAGGCAGGGCACCACAGTGCCCCCTCCCTGCAGCCCTGAGCACAGTGTGTGTGGAGGAAAGCCACTTCTTCAGGGGTGCAGGGGAAATTTTGCTAAATATGAGCAGGCCTGGGAGCTTGGGGCTTATTCCAGGATTTTTGTCAGCAGTCAGGGAGTCTCAGGAGATAAGCACATTGCGTGACTGACACCAAAAACTGAATACCCCTTGCAATCATGACCCCATCTCTAGGCTGACCCAGCACTAGCAACCCTCAAAGCCAGCCCAGGGGAAAGGAATTGCTCTGATCTTCATTTAATTGGGATAATTAGGTAATTTAAGAAGGACATGTGTGCCTGGAGGTTGCTCTGGTTTTCCCTGGGCTGCTTGAGGACCAGTAATCCTTTAAGCAATTAGCTGTGTGAAGCCAGCAGCTGTGGTGAGCATCATCTGTCCAGTGAGCACCTCCAAATGCTTGTCCTTCCCAGCTTCTGAAGGCACAGCCCCCTGAACACCTCATGTCAAAAGCACAGCCACTATGCTTCTGCTGCCTGATTCACTGAGAGGTGCCTCTAGTGTGAGAAACATGAGAGAAAGGAGAAATGCTCCACTGACCCACATACTGCAGGGAAAGCCAGTGGAGGAGAGCAGGCTTAATTTGGGGACCTCCTCCATGTCAACATTTCTGCTCTGATGCTAGGAAATCTCAGAGATGGATTTGCTGGCTACTCAGGGGTGTTGGTGCCATCAGCCCTGCTGCACCGCTGTTCCCTCAGGGTCCCTCTGTCCATGCATGACTTGGCCCATCTGTGAGCTGCGTGGGGCTGCAGCCCGTCTTTGCTCCATCTTTGCTGGGGTGCAGCAGCCAAGCCAAGTCTGCCAGGCATTTCTTGTCCAACCTAGAGCTTTGATTCCAAAGGAGGGAGCTTTTTTCCCCCTAAGGACACATATGAGCTTTATTCCTGCTCTGAGTTATTTGCACAAAGGCCAGGGTTTGTCTTTCCAGACTCTCTGGTTTTGCAGCAGCCTGGATGGAGACAAAAGCACTAGGAGAGTTGCCTTTCTTGACTGGGGGGGTTGGTGGTTTGTTTTGATATTTTTTCTTCTCGAGACACTGCAGAAAAGGTAGCTCACTTAAAGCACCTCTACCCTTTCAGAGCATGGTGGGGCTGGTTGCATGGCATAAACACATTCCCTGTGACTAAATCCCAGTGCTGGCTCTAGAGAGGAGGCTGGAAACTCCCACAGTTTCCCTCCAGCTGTGCAGGGAGGCACGAGAGAGATGACAGGGATTTCCTGCAGTGTTTGGAGAAGCAAGTCAACATGGCACAGATCCAGGTGGGCATGGCTGGTGGAGCTGGACAGGAGCCAGCTGGCAGCTATGGCACAGGGAGGAAGTGTGGCAAGCCCACACAGCAGGGACTTCCCCAGGGCATGTCTGTGGAAGAGCAGGGATGTGTTCTGCTGACCCTTGGGCTGCTGTTCCCCTTTCTGGAGCAGCCATGCACTATAAACAAACTCTCCCCAGGACAGGCAGGGTCCAGGTGAGATGCTCCAGCTTGGAAGTGCTGTATAAGGGACCCTGCCTGGTCCTTTTGCTAGCTTTCCTGTGCCATGTGGCACTGCCAGTGTCATGGTGCTATCTGCCCATCTGAGTGCTGGGAAGGGCAAGTGCCCTGTGTGTGTCTGTTGCTTCTGAGCAACTTGTTTCTGGAAGAAACATCTTTTCCAGCCTTTCCAGGTGAGCACAGTCTCACAGCACCAGGACATTCTCAGATAGGATGACTGGAATAAAGTCACATCTATACTGCAGGGGACAGAGGTACCTGAAGCACAAGCCCAGATCTCCTCTATCTCTCCCAGACAACTCTCTTCCTTCTAGTACTGAATATCCTTCTACTTCACTGCAGCAAAGCAGGTGATGCAAAACACCTTGGGGCATCCCCAAATGTGACACACGTCTTGTTTTGTCCCAAAATACTTGCTGGACAAAGTGGGGTGGGTTGTTGCTCACAAAGAAAAGGAAGCCCAGGCTGGGCATGGAGCCAAACATTAGTGCACAAACTGGAGGAAATGTGTTTTCCCTTGGCTTTTTGCCTCCCCAGGAGCAGCGTGGGTGGTGTGGGGGAAGCCCTTTCTGCCCTGGCTGCTGCTGCTCTCCCTCCCAGCCCCTGGGTGAGCACAGAGTGGGCAGCCTCTGGTAGGCAGCTTGGGGTTCAACACGGGCTGAGGGAGACTCTCCCCAGGCTCACCTTGCTGCTGCTGTGGGAGCCCTGGCCAGGCACAGCTGCCCAGGATGGTTTTCCCCCTCAGGCCCAGGGTTGCCATAAGGATAGGGGTGGGAAGAGAGTGGATGTCCCCATTGAGGTGGTGAGAACTGGCCTCTCTGAGGGAGGGGAACAGAGAGTGGTCACTGATCATGTGGACATGGGCTGCTTCTGCCTGGTTAGCCTGTGGGGTTGGGATTCTCAAAGTTGTTCCCCAGATATTCCAGGCTAGGTTGGGCAGTGAGACATCAGGGAATGTGTTCTGCATCCCCTGGGACTGCCTCTACCTGGGGAGGCTCAGCTTCTATCTCCTACCAGTCCATACCAGCCCCATACTAAGGATTCATGTCTGAGACCCCAAAAGTCCATCCCTCCACCATCTCCACTGCCTCCCAGTCACCAATACCTGTCACATGGATGTTTCTGCACACACTGGGACTATCACCAAAGGGGTCACCATCCCAATTGCACTCGTGCTGCCCTGCAACATGATTTATGGGATGTTTTCCCCACCTCACTCCCTGCTGGGACCATGCAGAGCATTCCTCCTCATCCTCCTGCCTTCATGAGCCGAGGGAGAATCACATGCCAGTGTGTGTGCCTGAGCACACATGTGTGCATTGGTAGGTGGGGGAATAGGGGGTATTTCATGGGCTTTTAACAGGACATACTGCAAATTTGTGAATAAAACAAGAAATTTGCAAAATGGTTTCAGTGCATCTTCTCTGAGCTGTACTGCAGGACCCTGGGAGAAGAGGAGACATGTGAGGAGCATCTTCTGGGAAGGAGACTCCCAGGGATCACCTCAACCCTCTCCTTCCCACATGGCTTGAAGCAAGGTTGTGTGGCTAAATCGTCACTGCCTGGGGTGCAGGAATTCTGGGGACAGGGATAACCTCACATATGTACAAGCATATGTGCATCCCTGGCTATTTCCTCACCTCCAGCCCTGCCCCTGCAGATGCAAAATACCCTGCAGGCTCCCAGCACTGAGAGACATGGGGCAGCATCTCCTATTTTGTAGTAATAAACCATCTGCATCCTGAAAGCAATTTTCCCCCTAAACTGGCATTTTCTGAGGCTACATAGACTAACAGGTACAGGAGACAGCTGCTGGTTCCCTGCGTGGCTCCAGCCCCAAGTCCAAGCCCAGACTGTCCTGCAGGGGAAAATAAAGGCTACTGCAGCCCAGGTAGCAGCAGGGTGCTGGCCTGCAAGCTGCCCTCCTCCTCAGTGGTGAGAGAAAAGGTGAGACCAGGCAGAGACCACACCTAAATTCTGCTTCCTCTGAAACCCTCCCTTTCCTCATCTTGCTCCCAGACATGGGCCAGGACACGGAGCCAACTGGGTCCTGCAGCGGAACTCACCGCTGGGCTTGCCCTCCCTTTCCTTTTGTTTTTTCCTCTCCTTCTGTCACTGCCAGAGGAAAAGTGGGAGAGTCCATTGCTCACACGCTGCTCTTTGCACTAATCTGCTCAAGTGATTCCCCTCCTGACATCTTCAAGAAACTCTCCAGTGCTCAGGGTGAGTCTGTGGGTGCTGGCTGTAAATCATCACCTCCGGTGGATTACAACAGCTGGGTGAGAAGATAAATACTTTTCTCTCCTCTTTCCTTTCTCATTCCTTCCTTTCCACTTTTCCTCCTGAAGTCAGAGCAGCTCCCAGCCAGGAGTCATGATGCTGGTGGGAGCCCTGCGTGGCCTCCTGCTCCTCTGCCTTGTTGAGGAGGCCATCAGCAAAGTCAGAAGATACTACATTGCTGCAGTGGAAACCTCCTGGGACTACACACACAGTGACCTGCTGTCCGTGCTGCAAGTGCCTGCAGGGTAAACCTCTTTCTATTACAATTCTTGAACATGCACAGCACTGTGAGCTTGGACCCAGGCAGGTAGGTACATGGGAGCAACCTGGCAAGGTGGGTGCAACTGAGCTGCTGGTACAGCTGGAAATGGGTGGTGTGTTGAGGAGTCACTAAGTGCAACCCCTGATGGGGGACAGAGAGAGAGAGATACATACCTGCTCTGCACTACTGCTCTGTATTGCCTAATGCCTTCTGCCTGTGACCCTTTAAAGGCTGTGCTAGGAGCCAAGAGTTGGTTTTCCAGTCTGTGCTTTCTCTTCTGCTTTGTATCCTGGGACATTTGGGGAAATGTGATGGGAGACGGGACATGTGCCTCCCTATCTGGGGATTGCAGGGGAAGGTTGGCTGTGCCCCCTGACATAACTCAGGGCAGCAAAGGCTTTCCACTGTGTCTACCTCTGGTAAAATCCAGCTTTAGTTGTTTATATCTTTGTGCACATTATGTTGCTGGGGCTGAAATTTTTCCTTAAGGCAATGAAAATAATTTGGAGTGTTTGGACAAGGAATGGTGTTCATGCACAGTGACAAGAGGGAGGAAGGTAGGGTGATTTTGCCCATGTAATTTGGAGCAGGAAGAAAAGGTAGGCATTGCATCGCTCAGGCATCAGGATGGTGTTGTCTGGAGATGCAACTGGCTTGGACACACCTGGTCATGAATGGGCTGTTCCAAGCTCAGCATGAGGAGTGGAGCTGGATGGCTGCATTCCCTGTGGATCAAGCTATGCCCCTTCCCTCTGCCTTGCTTCCACATCCCCTTCCCCAGACTCTGTGCTGGGGTGATGTCAGACCCACATTGGCATGAGCAGTGAGAAGCTGTGGTCAGGCACTGGAACCCAGGCTCTAGTGCTGAGCCAGGGCAGCCTGACTCGCTGCTGTAGTCACTGTATCTGAGTTATGTTGGTTTTCCCCCCCTTTGGTTACTTCAATAGAAAAATTGCATCCGACACCCCCCATCTTACTAATCCCCCCTGCCCTGCTTTCATTGATGTTACACTTGGGTCCATTAGGCTAAGCTGGAGATGACAACTCTCACACTGTGGCTTTCCACTTCAGCACTGACTTTAAATGATGCACTTGGGAACTGTGTCTGACCAGGAATGATTCAGGGGCCTGACTCTGCTTGGGGATAAGCAGAGCATCATCAGGCAATCTGAGGCCACTTGTCCTCCTCTAAAGGGGAAGATAACTCTGGCTTTCTCAGAGAAACTTGGTGGCATGCTCCACCCTGGAGAGGCAGAGTACTCCTGGGCAGTGCAGCTCCTGCAGAAGTTGCAGTGGGAACAGCCACCTGGGGTGGAATGATGGTGTCTTTTGCCTGGCCATGCAGTCTTAGGCCAGTTCCCCCCAACATGGGGAGGGCACAGGAAAACAGCCAGGCTGAGGAAAAAAGTCATGGAGGAGTGAGCAAGGAAAGCATGGCCGGAGCAGAGCTGGCACTGGAGCTGGGTTGCCTCTGAGCTGTGCATGGGGTGGTTTCTGCTCCACCAGTTCTCTTTCGGGGTACCAGTATCTCATGGCAGCTCCCAGAGGTGCACCTCCAGGCAGGAAGTCCAAAACCCTTGTATGTATCCAGTGGTTTCTCTGGCCTGTTTGTAGAAAGCTCGGTCAAATTAATGGGCTACTGCACGTGGCCAGAGCTGCTTCTGCCTGTCCCATGATTTCAGTATCTCTTCCTCCCAAACACCAGAGACAGGACCAACATGTCCTGCAACAGCCCCAGGGACCTCAGCTGTGACTCAGAGCTGTTGGACACGTAGCAGCAGCCCATGTCTGAGCACTTCGGCAGTGCAGGATGTCTCCCAGCTCCAAGAGATGAACAGATAGTGTGGCTAACAATGCTGATGCAAGGCGCCAGAAACTTATCTCCCTGCCTCAGCGTCAGCTGCCCCAAGGGAAGGAAGTTCACAGGGACCCCAAATGCAGAGAACTGGCCAGAAGCACTTGGATCAGATGTCCCTGCACTGACCTCTGCCTCCTTGTGCCCTGTGGGCTCTCCCATGCCAGCTGGGACCCAGCACTGAGCCCTGTTGTCACTAAGTCTCCTCCCAGGCAAGGTCCTGCATGCCAGCAAAATATCCCTGGCTCCAGGGCCTTTCTGTCTTCTTTACTGCAGAGTTAGCAGGACCAGACCCTCATGTCTCAGGGATGTGTTTTCAAGTCTGGGTTGTCTGCGAGGTAGAGATAAAGGCACAACTTCCCAACAGTGGACAGCTGAGTGCCAGCAACCCTGCAGCACTGCTACCTCTCAGTATGGGGTCATCCTGGAGACAAAGCTTGGTCTGGAGCCTACTGCCATGAAGCCAGGAATGACAATGGTTCATAGGCAAAATCAGCTGAATGCAGTGGCACTGCTCACCAGAGCTGCTGGGGTCTTCCTCCCAGCCTGAATGTGGGGTTATAGCTGTGGTGGGAACGGCAGGAGCTGGGCATATGTGGGGTTTTCATGGGAACTCATCCTGCTCTGCCCCTGGGGAGAGTGGGCCCCTCTCCCCAGAGCATCCTCCAGCTGCAGGTGGCTTCTAGCCAGTGGTGTTGGGGGTGAGTGTGCATTGCCCTTTCCTAGATTTGAGTCACTCTGTCTCCTTCCTCTTCTGCTGGAGGAAGAGTCACAAAGGGAAACACTGCTGGAATGAACACTCACTTAGAGCAGGAGAGCAAGCCTCCCTGCATCTAAAGTGGGAAGAAAATACCACCTGGCTTTTGCTACAAACAAAACACGGCTGGAAGCAGACTGTCTGGTTACTGGAAATGGTCACAGTCCTGGGGCTGATAAGTCAGACTCTAAAATCACTGAAGAAAATCATAGCTTTGTTATCCTGATAAATGTACTGGATTCCTTCTGGAAAATGATCTTGTTAAGCTGCTTACAGTAAGAAAGTGGCCAACAGACATAAGTGGGGTGTCAAATACAGTGAAGGCTCATTTATCTTTCTGCTGAGAAGAGTAGATTTTAGCGGCTGGCTGTAAATCCCAGTTTGGGCAGAAGAGAAATGAATGTGGGGATGTTGGTCAGACAGAGCAGTCTGCCACAACCTGCCATGCATCCTGACACAGTTTCTTTCCTGAGGGGAGCTGGGGAGGATGTTTGAGTTCTGCATGATGTGGTGTGTCTGCCACACCTGAAGGGGATGGGGATGGGAGGTAGCTGCAGGGCAGAGGCCACTGCTGCACTGCTATTGCAGCACTTCCAGTGCTCTGTGTCTCTGCTGGCTGGGAAGCACGAGGCTGGACAAGGCATGAGGTAGGAGACTAGCAGCAATGCATGGTGCTGTGCCCTCTTCCAGCTGCAGCTGGGTACAGTCTTGTGCCTCCTGCCCTTCTGGCTTCTTCCATCATGACTAACACTATGACATTAATCACTGCCATGTTGTCTTCTGTGACCTGAGCAAAACATTTCCAATCATACCTGGGAGTTGTCAGGAGATCCAAAGGACACAACAGGGTGAGCAATCCCTGGGACTGGCATGACACAGGCAAGCTGGTGGGAAGGGGAGGAAGAGGATGGCTGTTGCCCATCCATGGATGGGGCTGTGCAGTCAGCCTTGGCTTTTCCTTCCTCCTGCAGCGTTTCGGGGCATACAGGCTCACGGCCCCCCACACCTGGTATCCCTCCCCGGTACAAGAAAGCTGTGTTTGTGGAGTACCCTGATGCCTTGTTCATACAGCCCAAGCTCAAGCCAGCATGGATGGGTAAGAAGCACCAGCAGTGTGGTGAGCCCTAGGTCTCTTTGACAATGACCAAACCCAACAACCTGGATTGGCTACTGGCAGCTATTCAGCCAGGAATAGGAAAGCACTTGTGTAAAGTTCCAGTGTGGCAGAGCTCCTGGGGATGCAGAGAGCCTTGCTGGAGCTGGAGCAGGAGCAGTTGATGCTGCCATGCTGCTTGAGGGACAACCACTAAATATGCAGGTGGAAAGTCAGGACCCTTTGGGGCTCATAGCAGGGTGTGAGCTGCCTGACCTTAGCTGCCTGACCTTGTTGTCTTCCCCCCTTCAGGTCTTCTGGGCCCTACCATCCGAGCAGAAGTCTATGACACAGTGGTCATCACATTTAAAAACCTGGCCTCCCGCCCCTACAATCTCCATGCCGTCGGAGTGTCCTACTGGAAGGCTTCAGAGGGTGAGTCAGGCAATGACCAGGTGCTGCAAGCCCTTGAGCAGCACCTCCTGCTCTGCACCTGCCTGCCAGGAGGGAGCACATCCCTCCCTGACCCTGCTATTCATGTCCCTCTACAAGGAGAGATGGTCACAGAGATGGCTTAGCATGGGGGAACAACATGACCATAACCAGCTCAGAAGTGAGCTGAGATGAGCACACCACCCAGAGCAAACCTGTATCAGTTATAGAGGCAATACATAGGTTTAACCTAAGGGTGGATGCTTAGGGCCAGGAAGACTGTGCTGTGCAGCATCAGGGCAGGTGGTGGGTGCACAGCCCAACAAGTGAGTCTCTGACAAAACTCTGCTCATGCCTTGAGACCAGATGCTGCCTGTGGGAGCTGGTCTGGCTTCAGGGGCTGGGGTGGAGGAGCCCCTGGAGGAGGAGGTGTTTCTGCAGCCATAGTGTGTTGGGGATGAATCTTCAGTGACTTCTGGCCATTTCTTTGGGTTTAGGTGCAGGGTATGAAGATGAGACCAGCCAGCCAGAGAAGGAGGGTGACAGGGTGGATCCTGGGAAGACACACACATACATCTGGGAAATCCAGCAAAACCAGGGCCCAACGGATGATGACTCACCATGCCTGACCTATTCCTACTCCTCCAACACCCACAGCGTGAAGGACATCAACTCTGGCTTGATCGGAGCCCTGCTCGTGTGCCGACCTGGTAAGGCCAGCACAGGATGGGGACAGGTCACATGTAATCCTGAACTGAAAGCAGGAAAATCAAAGATGCCTTCCTGAGACTGAGCATGTCAGTAGAGTCAGTAAGATGTTCTCAACAAAAGCTCTTTTGAGGTTCAGTCTTTTCCTCAAGGAGTCCCTTTACAGTGCAAAAGCCAAACACACTTTGGATTTTCCTGTGGGAGAGAAACTAGTTGTTTCTTTCCTTTGCAAGATTTCAGACCACAGATGAAATCTTGAACCTTATCTATCCATAAGGTGAATTGCTATGAAGGTGTAAATGCTTGTCTTTTCTTCAGAACTTCATCAAGCTGTGATCATTCAGTGCCAGTCAGGTTGCTTTGTCAAACAGGGTTTTGTCAGAATTAGAGGGAAGTTTGTATCAGCAAGGGCTAAGGATCAGGCAGGAGAGAGGCAGGACACCTGGGACACTGCCTGGTCTGCAGTACCTGTGCCTGCTTTCCTTCCTTCCTTAAACATGGAGGTGATGAAATCCTGACTGTTATTACTTACTGGCATAAGGCAACAAGAGATGTAACTGGATTAAGACTGATCATCCCTGGTTGAGACATATCCTGGAGGTAGTTGTCCAGACCCCTCTGTAGTCACTGGGAATGAATGGGCACGAGTCACCTTCTCCTGGGGCACTGTCTGCAGTCTCCAGTGACTCACCAGTTTCTCCACTGAGACATGACAAAAGCAAACCACAGCCGGGTGTTGATTTACCAGTTCTTGGAGGGAATTCCCTGGGGAGACAGGCATGGTGCTTGCTGACCTTTAAAGAGATCCATCCTGTGGCATCTTGCAGGGACCCTGGTGAGCGGTGGGAATGAGGGCTTGCAGCAAGAGTTTGTGATGCTCTTCGCAGTGTTTGATGAAGGTAAGTACCCTGTTGACTGGTGTCAGCCCCTGAATTCAGCCTGGTCTGGAGTGTATACTTTGGCCATGGTGTGAGCACAGATGCTTAGCACACTCACTGCCTCCCAAGGGTTTGAGCCTTTTACACACACTCCCCCCTGCCCACCTCAGCCAACATACTCCTGGTGCAGTACTGCCTCTCCTTCTCTTCTCCAGGTGCAGGGAGCTTGCAGCCCTCCCAGCTCTGCCATCCCACGCCCTGACCTTGTTCCTATCACACATGCAGGGGAGTCATGCCCTGTCACCACCATATCCATGCAGAGCCATGGCCAGGTGTGCTGTGAATTTCCAAACGGCACCAGACATCTGACCTCCCTGGGAAGGTTTACTTCTGCTTTGAAATGCTTTCAAGTGAAAACTGACTGCATCCTCCTCTCTCCACAGGGAAGAGCTGGTACTCTGAGCCTGGCTCCCCAGCAGCTCCTCAGTCTCACAATAGAACAGAGCTGCACACCATCAATGGCTACGTCAATGGCTCACTGCCTGGTAAGCACTGGTGGGACAGGGACAGGGATGGAGGGCATGGAAGGTGCTAGGAGCAGGGGCAGAGCCAGATCTGTAGACTCAGGGTAGCTCGTGAAAGGATGTGAGAAGTGATATGAAGAAGAGTTTCCAGGCTGTGTTCACCTCAGAGGGACTATTACATCTCAGCTCTGTCATCTGCCTTGCCCAATGCAGTAGGACCTGTTTCCAGCTGTCTATGTTGCCAGGTGCCGCTGATCTCCTCAGAGGTCTCCAGGAGTAGTGCTTGTAGCAAAGACTTTCATCTTTTGCAGCTCTGTGAACAAGGCTGGAGGTAGTGTTAAGGGGAAAATTCAGCTCTCACTAGCCTAGCTCTGACAAAATACCTCTGTAGGATTTTGGGATAGAACATAGAATCATTTCTGTTCAAAAAGACCCTTAAGATCATCAATGCTTCCAAGTCCACCACTAAATCATGTCCCTAAGTGCCACATACACTTGACTTTTAAACACCTGGGCAGCCTGTTACAGTGTTTGACTACCTTTTCAGTGAAATTTTTTTCCCTAATATCTCACATATCTAATATCTGGTGCAACTTGAGGCTGTTTCCTATTGTTGCTAGAGCACTGTTCCTACTTCCTTCCATGCTACTTGGGAGAAGAGTCCAATCCACACCACACTATAGCCTCCTTTCAGGTACTTGCAGAAAGTGGTAAGCCTCGTTTTCTTCATAGAATCAGAAACAAAAGCTGGTCTGGGTGTCAGTGAACAGAAAAGTTGGCATTTTCTATTGTTCTCCTGGGAAAATGTCCAGAGCTGCCTGAGAGTAAAGAATCTCCAAGGCAAACTGGGAAATACTGTCAGGAGAGTCATTACCAGCAGCAGCCTTGGGGAACCACATCCTGAAACCTCCTACATGTGTCTAGCCATTCTCCAATGAAAGGCAAAAGCAAAACTCTCCTGAATTCCCTGTCCTGGTGGAGCTATGGAGCTTGAGAGCCAAGTAGACCTCATGGTCAGCCGCTGTCACTGCACAGTGGGTTTCTCCTTAAGAAGGTATCCACCTCCACCCAGCACTCCGCTCTCTGGCCTGACAGGTGCCTGATGGAGAGCTGGAAATGGAGAGCTGAGGGCCTCAGGACAGAGCCTCCACCCAGTTTCCTCTCAGGCCACTGGGATCTGTTCCAGTCACCTATGCACTCAGTGCCAAAACAAGTGCTTGACTCTGTATTTTCATCTTCCAGGAACTTACTATTCATCTCCCTACTAGATTACAAAGCCCTTCAGCACACATCAAGTTTTCCTCAGGAAAGTATTTTTACAATTAAGTCAAGTCCACTCTCATTTCCTAAGCACACTGAGCTCTTTAAGCGTCTCCAAGGAAGGAATTTTCTCCAATCCGCAAATAATCCTAGTGACCTCTCTCTGCCCTTTGTGGTATTTCAGCTACTGCTGAGGACGTGCTGGAGCCCTGCCCTAGATGCAATGTTTTAGTATCAGGCTTGCCAGTGTTGTGATCAGACAAGTGATTCTCTTCCAGTTCCCAATTTCCCTATTTATAGAGTCAAGGAGCACATCTGTCTCTTTAGCCGCTGCATCCCACTGTGAGCTCCTACCAGCACACCTCCCCAAAGCCGAAGTCCTCCACTCTGTAAATCTAGTTTTATCTCAGGGGGATGATGTGACCTGTGCCTCTGTTTTGCTCAGACAGTCCATGTTCACGTGTGACTTCTACAGTTTGAAGCACCTTGCAGGGCATGGGACTCTACTCAGCATGTATCAGACTCTGAGTCCATGACACCAAGAGTGGGGACAAGGATTGAACACAATGCTGACTCCTGGGTACCTTCTCTCCTGACAGGTCTCACACTGTGCCTCAAGAAGCAGGTCCACTGGCATGTGATTGGGTTGGGCTCTGGGCCAGAAGTCCACTCCATCTTCTTTGAAGGCCACACATTCCTCGTGAGAAGCCACCGTCTCAGCAACCTAGAAATCTCCCCTGCCACATATCTCACAGCCCAGACCATGCCAGGAACAGCTGGCTGGTTTCGGATGTTCTGCCAGATACCATCCCATCAGCAAGGTAACCTTAATCTACCAAGAGCTTGGGGGAAAAGAAGTTCAGGGGATGGCCTGGACTCAGGGTTCTATGCAGTGCTGTAGCTCCAAGGCCCCTCCTGCTCCACAGTCTACATCCACCTCCAATCTGGCCCATGACCACAGTGGTATGGGTTGACCCAAGTGGTGGCCCATTTGATGGGGACAGTAGTGGAGAGGATGTCTCCAAGCAGAGCCTGGGGCAGTGCATGCCTGTACTGGTACGTCAGTGTGACCCTTTCTGCCTGGCTTGTCTGAACCCAGCTGGCATGGAGGCCATTGTGAAGGTGGAGGAGTGTCCTGAGGAACGCCTGATAAAGATGGTGAAGCTGTCAGACGAGCCAGAGGTCATAGATTACCCTGAAGAAGATGAGGAAACTTATCATGTGATCCAACCACGCTCTTTTGCCAAAGCAAGGCCTATGACCTGGACTTACTACATCGCAGCTGAGGAGATGGACTGGGACTATGCCTCTGTGAAGCCAGAGTCTCTGGATAGGTGAGAGTGGGGACATGTGCCCAACCTTGGATGGTTTTGTTCTTCCTTATTAACATTAACAGTATGGATGCAGGACAAGGATAGTCTTGGGGAGGCCATGGGTCCTGGGTTTGCTCCATTTTACCAAGTGCCCTGCAGAGACATTTGTCTCCAGGGCATTTTTCTCTCTGTCACCCAGGTGTCTGGGGTCATCCCCTTCTGAGCAGGCAGCAACACCTGCTGACATTCTCACCCATCACCTAGGAGGCCCTGCACAGCCAGGACGTGTGCCCACAGCCTCACCGTGTGGGTCTCCTTTTCCTCCTGGAAGGGCCTGCCCTGGATGGCAGAGGCAATCAGCCCCTGCTGCTGCTTCACCTCTTGCAGGGAGAGGTGATGCAAGTGTGATATCTCAGCAGAAGTCCCTTAGTCAGCACTGCATGTCCACTGCCACACAGTCCCACCACCACCCTGCTGACAGGCTGTGTGGGATGGGGCTGGCTTGTTGTTGGGGTCACCAGGTTCTGCCCTAGATGAGGTTCCTAGCCAGTAGCCACTTAAGCAAGACATACAGAGCAGAAATTCCCCTTTGTAGCCCTTTGCAGGGTAAGCCAGAGGTAAGATGTGTGTCCTCTCCACCTTAGATCTGGCCTGGCTCCTGGAAAGGAGAAGGGATAATCAAGACATCTGTTGCCTTATGGCCACTTACTGACGCTGTTCCTTGACACAGGACGACTTGCCATACTCTCAGCTCTCACAGTCACCACTTCTCTCCAAGGCAGGGCAGTGTTAGTCAGAGTCTGCTCTTGTGCTGCTGAGTTGATGCTTTCTCCACTAAAGAAGCACTGAATCCCTTGAAACATTATTCCCCAGGATGCACACTGTGGGTGTAGGGCTGGGTGTTCCCCACAGTGCACTGGTAGTCCCTGGAAATCTGTCTAGGTCCTTGAATGATGGAAGGTCTTACTCTGATTCTGACAGTGTCCCACATGTGGCTGTTTGCTCTTTCTGTGCCTTTGCCTGCAGAAACATCACGAGCCTGTACCTGGAGACTGGGCCTCAGCGCATCGGCTCTAAGTACAAGAAAGTGATGTTTGTGGAGTATGAGGATGCAACCTTCAAGAAGCGCAAGGTGTCAGATCAACTGGACAAGGGAATTCTGGGGCCTGTCATTAAGGGGGAGGTTGGAGACCAGTTTAAGGTAAGAAAGAGATTGCTTTCCACAAAGAGGGACTGCCAGGGGAAAATGTAAAGTTTCCTATTAGCTCTTGCTATGTGACTAAGGTCTGACAAGTCCTCAAGGTGCTCTGTGACGTTTGGTAATGTCCAAAGTTCACCAGAAAGGCAGATGCTACTGACAGCTAAAGCTGAATACTCAGTGAGATCAGCAGAGAGACACAGGATATGGCCCAGTCCCTTTGATTTGATTTCATTGCAGGTGTTTTAGGACTTGTGCGAATGAATCCATGACACATGGCATCCAGCACCTTCCTCTGAGGCAGGAGTGTCCTCTCACTCTCTACTCCTCTCCTTTTTGCTGTTACCATACAGTATTGGGGGCTGTCACTTATGTCTCCCCAAGTGACCCTACTGACCAGTTGACTTGTTTGCTGCTTGGAGGAATGGGATTGTTTCTAGGAGGTCCATGTTTCTGCTCTCTTCCTGGGACTCCCTGTGCAGTTGTGGGCATGTGGCAGGACTACTTAGATAAATAAATGAAGAGCTTCATGCAGTGAAGAGGGGAGAACTTTGAAGCTGTTGACTGCTGTGCAAACTTTGTCTTTGTCCCCTGAGGCCTCTTGGATTGACAGACCTCTTCTGACTTATACGTAAAGTAAGACTGAAGACAGCAACTTTCCCTTTAATAAATCTGGTATCTTCATGTCCCCAGAAAAATAGACAGTATAGAGTCCTTGTAGAGAAGTAAAGTAATTTCTTCTGTTCTGAGTCCTACTATTTGGTACTAGACATGTCCATGTTCCTCCCCACTGATTGCTGGCAGGTAGCCAATCCTAGAGTGCCACTGTCCAGTGTTTCCCCTACTGTGAGGACTGAGAGCAGCCTCCAGGGTTCACAACATTCAGAAAACATTAAATGTTCCTGCTGGCTGTCCTCATTTCAGATCGTGTTCAGAAACCTGGCAAGCCGACCCTACAACATCTACCCTCACGGCCTCACCAGTGTAAGGCCATACCACACCTTGAAATCCTCTCGAGGTAAGGGAGACTATGAGAACCTGGGACATCACTTAGCCCCTGCCACTTTTCTGGGCCAGGAGACCTTTCTGCAGCTCGTGGCAAGACTGGTTGTCCAACACATCCATCCAAGCACCTAAGCTCTGCAATTCCAGAGATGATGATGATTCTTGGTTTATGCTCCCCTTGGTGTCATGTCTTTATGGAAGGCTTGGATGATGGGTAGGAGAAGGGGCATTCTCAAACAGGGAGCTGGGGCCATGTGAATTGGTCCATCCTGGGTGCCTCCACTTTCTGACAAGGCAGGAACCATCCTGGTGATCCTACCTGTGTTTGCCAGTTTGCTTTCAGCCCTCACTCCCTGCACTCCCTTTGCCCTGCTTTCATGTGGGGGTTTCATTATGATTTAGACCCTCCCTCTTGCAGCTTTGTGTGTTTTGCTCTGGGGTTGTTTATTTCCATGTCCCTTTCCCAGAACCGCTTTCATCCCTTGCCTGTGTGCTCCCAAGGTCGTGACTTGTGCAAGGTCATCTCACATTCCACCAGGAAAAAACTGTGCCACATCCCTCTCCCCTCTTCCTCTCTGCACCTTTGGGTTGCATCACAATGATGGGAACAATTTCAGGGCTGGAGAAAAGCTCCTCTGCTGCAGCAGAGGTGTCAGAACCAGGACAGCAGCTGCTGAGGAGGTCAGTGAACCAGGTCAGCTTTGTGACCTGTTGTGATCTAAATTATGGTTTTCCTTCAGGAAAGTCAAGAGGCCAAAGTGGCCCATCAGCCAGCAGGACTAAATGGCCAAGCCACATGTGAGACAAGAGACAAGCCTTGTCCCTCTGTTAATAGCTCAGTCACACATGGCTCAGTAGCTTTGCCAGCAATTCAACTTTGTGAAATCAGGCAAGTTGTGGTCCTGGAGCCACAGGGATGATGCTCAGTAGGGAAATATAAATAAAAATAACTATTCCTACCCTGACTGACATATAGGCTTTGCAAACCATCCTCTTAGAGCAGCTCAGCTGGGCACTTGGAGATGACTTCCTAAGACTACATCAGTGCAAGCTCCT